GTGATCAGCCGTGTTTTGTAGTTAGGGATTATGTTTGAGAGTGAACCAACAGTGATAGCAGGTTCAAACAGGGAATCAAGGCAAACTTTTTTGGACCAAATTTATTGGTAGTCTTGGGTTAGGGGCCGTTCACACTTGGGGCCTCTCACGTCCCTCTTGGACACCGGGGCACTCAGGATAAACGCAACAACAAGTCAACTATTCATTTCACAAACTTGTTTCACAAAAGATTGTAGGTCTACAGGCACTTCAATCACTACCATATCCTCTACGGATCTTTTATCTTTACCCCTTGATAACAGGTCCGCCAAATTATCGTCCGTCTTCACACGATGAGCCACTACATCACAATGTAAGTCTTTCAAGAGTTTCTGTAACCTCTTCCACTCTTTGTTGACCATGGCATCTTTGGACTTTTTCTTATCAACTGCCGCTTGAGACGTGGTGTTGTCCGTAAGCACCAGAAAGGACTTGCCTTTCACTTTATGAAAGTTACTTATACGGATTAGACTTAAACAAATTGCTAACAATTTGGCCCACGCAATAGTTTGTTTGCCTCTCAAAGTTACTACAGTATTCCATCCGGCTATCAGGTCAAATTGAGCCCACTTTGATCCAACTAAGACCCCAATACCCTTCATCAAGACATCACCTACCCACTCCAAATTGATTGGAACTTGGTCGGATATAATCCTTTCAGGATTCAGAGTTTTCATAACCTTTTGCCATTCAAGTAAGTCCTCTCTAACATCACCTGGCACCTTCCGCTTTGCTGCCCCTACTTGCCATTCTTGTTCCCATCTGTAGAGACTTGAAAGGTAACATTTCAAGTGAGGAACGATATATGTTGTATGCACCAACCTCCCCACAAACTTCTCTACTGCTTTTAGATTGAATGAAGCATTCAGTACCAAAACTCATCAACTTGAAGACAATGTTCCCCAAATTTTTCTATTGGTAAGCGCACTGTTTGTTCCTTAGAATTCCAAATAAATCCTATGTATTGTTGCTCTTCCGCAAACTCATGAACTTGCTTCATGTTTGAAGCCACACCCATCTTGTCACTGAGCTCTATAATATCTTTAATAGAAGTTGTATTCGTTTCCTCTTTCACTAATAAATTATCATCTACCCAGCAAAACACTGATTCCAATTTGAACGCCTTGGCCACTATCTTCTTCCACAATTCTGCCGGCCGTCCAACCACACCACATCCTGCAACTCCTCCAAACTGGATTTGCAAATCCAGCCACAACCATTTTCTGAGATCCAGAATGAAGAGATAACACCATTGGGCAGGGTGTATAGTGATCTGCCTATATGCCTTCTCCCAATCAAAGATTGCTAGTAGGTAATTTCCTTTATTGTCTCTAAAGAATCTTGCAATAACTTTGAAATTGTCCCAAGTAGTGACATATTCCTTCTTATCCACAGAACTATTTACTGACGGTGTTTCTAAATTATCTTGCAGAAAGGATAAATCATTAATAATCCAAAAGGATCCATCTCCATTTATTAAACTACCCATTGGGCTTGACCAAAAGAAACCAAGCTTTGCAAATACTTCTTCATGTTCAAAGGGGCCAAAGATCTGATTTGTGTGTTGTTCTTTTGCAAGTGTATTTGCTATCTTTTCAGCTGCCAACCTTGCTGAAGCATGATTACCTGGAGTAAACCATCTCAAGCTACCTAACGTAAGGTCAGGTATACCTTGATGGAAACCCTTTCTGCATCCTTCAATCACTTCCTTTGCATCCCCTTCAATTTTATAGCACACCATGAGTGACTCCCACTTGTGTAAGTTCAGATCACAGACCGCTTCTTCAAGTGGCAATTTACTATTGAAGTCTCTTCCTGAATTCCAATAAGGAAGAATTCATACCACTCCATTCACACTTACTCCTTGTGTTGCTCTTGTCTGAGGAACAGATCTCGGACCTTGCACTCCTTCATGCCAATCAAAAAATAAATTCTGCAACAACAAGAAAGGGGCAAGGTGAAAACAAGTTAGAAGCCAATCAAACCAATGCCCTGAGGCATACATTTCATTCAACTCCTCATCTTAACCTCCGTAGGAAGGGTACAAGGACAAGAGAGAACAAATCCTAACACAAGGAATGACCCAACACGTGTCACAAATCAAGTTTGTGCCAAAACTGAGCCTTTGATTTTAGAAATAATGATTTGTCAATCATGTTCACCATACAAAAACACATTATTGAGAATCTGCTCAGCCAGCCACAACTGAGCATTCCACCAATGACTTGTGTGCAGCCCACCAAAAAATCCTGAGAATATCAACAGAAAATGCTCAGCAGCTCAGTGGGCACTGAGGACTCACTTGAAAGCTACTGAGCAGTCAATTCATAATCTGGCAGAACTTAAGAAAACAATAGATGTGGAGTGATGCAACCACATTGGAAAACCTTTATTGCTGAGCGTTTGGAATATAACTTCTGAACATCTTTTATCTGGCTGATGAACTAATGAGCACTGAGCAGTATAAAACGGGAGTCTGAGAAGCTGAACTTTAATTTTCACAGTGAGTCTATTAATCTTTATCATGTAAATTGACTGAGTTATTGAGGTTTGAAAAAAAAACCATGGATAAAAAATACTATTTTTGTACTATACAAAAGACTGGGATCTTGAATATCTTCAATCTTTGTCAATATACATATACATTAAATTTGATGATATTTTCCGCATTATGTTTCTCCACATTTCTGGTCCCTACAGCCTTTGTCTATGGGTAGTATTTTTATATGTAATTGTGGATTATATACAGAAGTTGGATTTTCTGAAGTTCTTTGACCTTGAGGCAAATTGTGACAAATTGTAGGGCCCAAATTAGGCACAAATAGACTGATATGCATGTAAATAATAATTTCCAAAAGTTTATGCAATCAATTTATTCATATCCTTCCTAGAATCAACAAAACAGGGAAAGATCGGACTGCTCATGTAGAATTCACGATTGCATATAGAAATATGCCTTTTGGACAAAGGCTGCAAAGATAAAATATGTAGAAACATGTATTGTACAGTGGAATATAAAATTTATTTTATATGTATATTGATGAAGATTTAAGATATCCAAGATCCCAGTCGTATGTATAGTACAAAAATAGTATTTTTTATCCGTGATTTTTTTTTCAAATTTCAATAACTCAGTCAATTTACATGTAAGGGCCCGTTCGGTAGCGTTTATTTTACCACCGAAAAATGTAGTATTGAAAAAAAAATGTAGAACGCAAATACCATGTTCGGCCTGTTTTGGCCTGTGGTATCATAATGTATTATGCAATCCAAAACTACACATTCAAATAATCAAAATGTACTTCATTTTCATATGACACTCATGTTAAACTTCGACTTGTCCAATGCTGAAGCCCAACTGAACCACTTCTACCAACACCAATGAGATTTCAAGGACAATATGTAGTATCAAAGCTCTGTTTCAAATAATGTAGTATCAACAGGCATACTACATTATGATTCTTGATACTGTAGTATAAATAAACGCTACCGAACGGGCCCTAAAGTTTAATAGACTATATATTCTTGATCCGTGAATACTGGAGCAGGTGTGTACAGAGTTATGATGTCATATGATGACATTGGAATTTTGGTGGTCGGACAGGCAAATGGCCCCATATGATATTATGTTGAAGTCAGTTTGAAATCTTTCTGAATCTTTCATGAATCTTTCATGAAGCCAAGGTAATCTCTGGCCTGCCAGAGCCTAGTAGATGGGGGCTGTGACTGTACAATTGTGCAGGGATTTGTGCAATTACTACTTTTCACTGAGTCTTTGAAGAAGGACTTCAATCACATTCGTCAGGGCATATTGGTCAAGCATGGGAGTAACTGGACCTCCGTGGTCAAAACCCTGGGATGGTCCAAAGAGCAAACCTGATGCAAACCGGAAGCCATTGATGGACGACCTCTGGATACCACTAATGCGCTCATTTGTCTTAAATAGGCCGGTTGACCTGCAGGTTCTCCAAATGTGAACCACAACCCTCACTCTTCTTATAAATCTTACTCAGCCAGCAACGACCCCGGCAAGCAAAACAGATGTTGGGAGACAGCTTCACTAGAAAGCTTTTATCCAACGTTTCCACCTTTGTGGATGACCGGATGAAATGGTAAAGGGAAGGAAATAGCCTCCAAACTCATCCAACACTTTTCTTCCAGGGCCTCAGCTGAACTGCATCAATATACTCATGTCAAGTCAGTCCTTTCTTGTGGCCTCAAGTCATTACAATCAGCCGTCCAGAAAATTGCAGCCATTTTGTTTGTTACCAATACTTTCTGTTCCGCGGATTTGTTCCTCATTTACATACTGGCCACCAAACAAAATCTCCCAAGTTTGATTGGACGTCACTTCTCTTATCAAGTCATTTGCAACTATCAATGTCCCCTGGGCCCTTCTCATCAACCTTGTGAATTGGTCCCCCAAACTTCGGTCTCCATCACTCCAGACCTTTTCTATGATGCCAACTTACAATACCCTGATATCACTGATCTGCTATATCAATGGCACACCAAAGGCCTTTACTCTACCAGCCCACGGTGCTGCCTGAACTGCCAAACCAATCGCAAACAGCAAGCTATGGTCCGCCATGATTATCCTGATGTTGACAATGAAGAGTCACATGTGGTGACTGATAGTGCAAACAAACTGCCTCAACTGTATGAGGGACTTCACTTTGAACAATATGAGCATCTACTTTCACCTTTCCAACGCGGGTGGTCTGAAGGAAGAGGATTGTGATAGCTTTATGGGGGATATGCAGCGGCCAGACACGCTCACCTTCAACGACGTTGCCTATCACATTGTCTTGCATGGCTTTTGGGGCTATTGTCACTATTGGTGCAAGGTGGTAAGGCACATTGATGGAGCTCAAGGTGTATGGTTTTATGACAATCGCAAGGACGATGGTTGCGCACAACTCCTTGGAAGAGAGCTCACCTTGATCGCCGGCGCTCAACCGATGACTAGTTGGCTTGTTTACTCTTGCAAGGCTACCTCGGATGAACAGAAGATCATCAAATCCAACATAGCCAAGATTAGTCAGAAGAATCCAGACTCGCATGGTGATCTACCTTTTGTTTCTGCCGTGGACTCAGAAGGAGTCAAAGAAGAAATTGAACAACTTTGTGAAGAAGACATCCCCACTGCTGTACCAGACAATGTTGGTGTACCACCACACAGATAGGGAACTTGGCAAAGCATGCATTCGCATCAACATGTATGTTATTAAGAATGACTTTAATCTCAACTGTAATTGTGACTGCTGACCTTGTCTTTCTGAATGAGCAGGCCCGCCAGTTGATGGTCACCTTTGAATGGACGAGCTTTCTTTGGAAGAGAAGATTAAGAAGGCAAAGGAAGCCTTTTCCTCAACTTGTAAGTGTTTGTCTCTCACATGATTGCCACTGTTCATTTGTTGAATCTTTGGTCGGCAGGTCCTGCCATCAATCACCATTGCAGTAATGGTCTGGAAGCCAATGAACATCCCAATGGTTGACCTTTATCACAACCAATTGCTTCCGGTGGCGACGGGGCCAGCAAAGACAAGATCAAGTTCACTGAGCCAGCTCAGGGTGCCATCAACGTACGCCTTTGTATCAAGCGACCGGCACCAGATTCGAGCCCAGTCAAATCCCCATCTCCATCACCTCAGAAACATGTGATCAAGGCGAGTAAGCAAGCTTCAAAGTTCAAGAAATGTGTTCCAAAAGGGGAGGGCCTTCAAGACATCAAACTCAATTTACCAATTCTAGAGATAGAGAAAGGTGTTGAGAGGGAGATAGAGGTCAAAGCTAAGGTTAAAGCTAAGCCTACGGCAAAGGGGAGGAAGCCAAAAGTGGCAAGAGTCTAGTTATATTGTTTTCATTTCATGCTTCTTGATTGTGTCTTTCATGTTTACGTTCTTGTTTCTGTTGGATACAGAACAAAAAGTCTTCCTGTTGATCATGATTGTGAGGGTAAGCACGGGATTCATTTTCCTTCTTTCTGTATTCTTGGCTCCTGTCTTATGAATTCAATGGCGGCCTTTTGAGAAATGCAAACTGGCCAATTAAGTGGTGGAAATTGTGCACTTAACAGTGACAGATAGAGAGTTACATTGCCCATGGTGATGTGCTTTAGTTGAAAGCACACAATACACTCAACAACAAAGCAAGGTGAGTTGAAATTATCACTTGTCTGTTTAAGTTGTTGTGGTGTAAAATTAAACTTCGGGGGTGGAATTTTACAAATTTGCCCTCCAGGCCCCTGCACTGCTTATTGTGTGTGAGCCAGTTGGCGTGCAAAACTAGGGTTTTGCCACCCAAAAGTGGATTTTGCACCTGGTTTTTTTGCACTCCATCAGAAGTGTAAGAATATCAAGTGTAAAAGTCAATGTTTGGCAGGGTAAGTTACAAAATAACACTCATGGTTTTACACATTACTTTTTTGCACTCCAGATTTTGGGGCGGATGGAGTGTAAAATTGTATTTTAACCCAGTCACTGTACATTTTTACACTCCTTTTTGAGTGCAAAACCGTTGAGTGTAAAAATCTCTTCACCATTAGTTAAGTCAGGGCCATTACCTTACATACTTCACATACCTATAACATTAAGGACCAGGTGCACTTTCCCAGTCTTTGTCATTACTAACATATTGTTAGGGGGCTTGTTTTGCTTGGTTCTTCAAGCCATCTTCTCAAAAGTGGCTGATAAACCACATACAGAGATTGTTTGGTCAAGATAAACGAGTTTTTATCGTCGAGCCTCACATAGTTTCAGTGACTCATGATCAAGCAGGCATCTACTATGAGGCTTTAATGTAACTCACTTTTTTAATCCAGTTGCTCATTGCTCAATTGCAACGACTTTGTGAGGTCCAATTTTAGGATCTCAAGAATTGGTTGCAACTTGATGGTTTTCAAGGCTAACATGTAGGTTTTGGCACTTTTGGAAGTGATTTAACCTGTGCATCTTTCCCTCAAGGACAATCTGCACAGGTTTTGCAAGCTCAAATGAGAAATAAGATGTATGGCTTTTGGAAGCACATTCACTATCAGAGGCAAGTGGATTTCTGTGAAAGGTATGGAATATAAGGACACCTATAAGATTCTTTCATCCTTTCCTGCCTCCTCAGTGATAAACAGTTATCAATTGATAGACATCTAGAATCTAAAATATTTGCACAAGTTAAATCTTGTACGTTGGCTTTAGAGATATCAAGAGAGGGACAGGATGAGTTTGAGCAAAATATTATGTACAGTAGGTTTCAAAAAGGTTGAAATCACAGAAATCGAAAAATCATCACCTGGCCCGTGCGCCGCGCAGTATCGGGCCAAAAAAAAAGGGACGGGCTGTCAAGTAACTTATCTCGATCAAGGATCTGCCAACTGCGACTTGCACTAACTCGCCGCTCCTCAACAACCTTCATGAAGTTTGACAAATTCGTATCGTACGACTTTTCCCAATGAGAAGGATCTCGATGGCCGGCGGTAGTGGCATCTTTCAAATCGACGGCGGACACGATTCAGTCTTCTTTTATAATTCGGACACCTCTTTCCATCTTTCTTCAGCCTTTGTCAAAGAATTCACAATCAATTATTTCCGCTTTTTACTATCCACCAATCATCACAACTCTGTCTTATATCGCTTTCTAAAAATGCCAAAAAGAACCCTTTCCAAGTCCAACAGCAAGTCCCTCGGATCTCTATCCCAAAATCCGACTGCTTCCAATGAAGTGTTTGTTCTTTTTAGTTTCTTTTGGCAATGTGGGAATGGTCATATTGACTGTTTCAACTCGTTTTAATTTGTAGTCCGAACCAATCTGTTTCCCCTGATTCCAACGTACCGGGACCTGTGAATGCCGAGAAGCCGAAGAGAGCTCGATTACAAGATGTCCTCAATGTTGGCAAACTGATTGAACCCAATCTGGACGGAAGCAATACCTCGTCCGGTATAGGATCTCCTGACTTGTCTGTCCAGTTTGACTCCAGCCATGAGGCTTCGGCTGAAGAAACTCGTAAGCGATCTTTCCACATTCCTTTTGGGACCTGCGCTGACTTATCTTCCATCATAGTGACTGCCACAAATATGGATAAGCAAGCTGGTGAGTCGTCTTTCAATCCAATGGTTTGAAAACTGTCCTGACTCACCTTGTTTAGTGCCTTTGCCAGGAGGCACTACGCAGAACCTTCATGATCTGACGGTCCAATTCAGTTTGTATATGCCGGAAGCCACCACCGGTCCGGTCAAGGCCAATCACAAGACCAAGTGGATTGCTCATAAGTTCCCAATCACCAAGCAGCAGTTTGACATCTCAAATTCTTCGCTGGCCCAATTAAAATTACACTTATGGAGCATCGCCGACAAGATTTGTAATGATGCAAACGGCGGTATGAGTGCGTTATTCAAAACAGCCAACGCAAACAAACAGCTATCCGTTGGTGTCTACATTTTCAACCACTCGTCCTTTGGAAAAGGTAAAGGCTGTGTGGTCACCCTCAATGCCCATCTCAAAGAGTTCTTCAAAGCTGTTAGCGAGAACCAACTTCACGATTCAGGCATCATAATCACGATGGAGCATCCCGCGAAAGCCGCCGCGGTAGTTCTTGGGGTAAGTATCCACCTTCTTTCACTTAGAATGTCTTTTGCTGATTATATGTCTATCTTTAGGAACGTTCGTTGGCCCATGCTGTATTGGCAGCCTCCAATGCGGTCAACGAGGGCCGAACTACTTGTGAGGATGAACTTGCCCACTCCGACCCGGTGCCCAAACGCAAACTCGTCCTAAATGAGCTGGTCCGCCACCACGAGAAAAAGGGCAACAGCGCGGCTGAAGGTTATCGTGTTGTTAACACCCAAGACAACACCTTGATCATGAATCTCTCTTTCGAGCATATGATCGAGTGGGCCAAATTGTTGGTATGTCATGGGTCTTTCATTTCAGTCCTTGTTCCTGTTTCCACTTTATGATGGAATGCTAATGTGTTGTTTATCATTTGTTTATCATGTTTTCCTTTCGTAGGCCATTGGAACCGCTGGTGTGACTCTTGACATACCCCCAACCAAGATCGCCGGTTTCAAGTGGGAAAGCATCAAGTGTTCGATGCTTCATACGGCACCTGTATTCTCGGCTAAGCGCAACAAGCCCGCAAACACCCCCACCGAGGCGCCCACTACTCCCTGGGGTTATGCACAGATGCAGGGTATGCACCTTGAGGTTAAAATCGCCGAGGCTCGTCGCTTGGAGAACTTCTCTACGATTGATGACTTCATTACTTTCGCCGGCGTCCCTGAAAATGAAGTTGACCATGTCACTGAAACTTTCGAAGAGAACAACATCTTCAATTTCTACCAATTCCTCTTTCCCGATGCCTTCAACGCGCATGACATGGAGCGCTGGGGCATACACTTTGGCACGGGTCTCAGGTTGATGGACAGTGCCCGTCGCTTCTACCACCACCTTGTTGAGAAGGAAGAGGCCAGGCTCCGTGCGAATCTGATCGTGATTCCCGATACCGACTCCGAAGATAACTCTGAACCAGATTGTGAAGTCAAAGTCGTCCTCCACAAAAAAAAATAATTCCTGTTTATTTTTTTTCCAAACCAAAAAGTGGCTAAACATCTACATTACATCATGATCAATTATTTTGTATATGATTGTTTCCACCTCAAAATTTTTTATCTTCACCCCCGAAAAATCCACACATGCCTAAATTGGTCTGTTGGTAAATTCCTTTTTGCTATGGCCCGAGTTTGTTTTTGTTTTCTTTTCCAATATAACGTGGTAATCATTGCTATTGCCGTACCCCTTGTATTGCTTGGCTTATGTGCGCGCGTCCTCTTAGATCTGGCTATCTAAAAAGTTTTTTTTTCTTCTCCAATACTACGTCATATTCCTCGCTTGTGCCCTACTTCTTGTATAGCTTGGCTGTTGTGCGCGCGTCCTTCATGATCTGGCAATCTAAGACTTGTCCTTTGTGTTCTCAAAGTTATCTGTGAGCCACGCAAAGACAAAGCCGAACATTTCACATGAGACCAGATCAATTCAATTGAGAGGATCGTCTTTCACATCTTAGCTCGAGTTCAACATCACCGGTAACTCAAACATTTTGATAGCTCATAATCTTGCCACAGCCATTCCTCTGTGACATTGGTCACAACAAGAAATGAATGTCTTCTAATGAGACCTCACAGATCAAACATAACACAGAGTTTGAGATCAGAACTTTGCCAAAGAAATTTATATATGTTTGTTCCAAACAAGATGAAAGTTCAACTCGTTTGGAAAGGACCATGCGAGTTCCTCTCAGTAGCTCACTTGTGCCAATCGCAAAGGACATCAAATCAAGATTGGAAATATGTCTATGTTCGATCAATTGCATCAACATAGAGACCATACAAGTCTACCCCTCAAGGCAAACCCAGAATCAAACCAAAGGCAAGACAAGAAGTTTTTTAAACACAAGAGACAAGCTAAACAGTTGAAACACACAGATATCTGAAAATCAAGGCCAAAGTGACCATCCAACAACTTGAAACACACATGTATCCCCAAATGAAACATAACGAGAGTCGCTCAGTGTTGGAAAACACACACCTATCTCCAAAGGAACCATAACAAGAAAAGCTAAACAATCGAAACACACACATATATTGCAATTTGAATCACAACAACATCATGTTCTGAGTAAATAAAACCTTGATTTAAGCGGGAGAGACCCAAACAATCACCTACTCTTCCTCATCAAAACGGGCGTTGTACCGGGCCCAATAGTGGCGAGTGGTGTAGCCACTATGGGCAATTAGCCTTTGCAACAAACTACGAGTCATTACTCGCGCGGCCAGTAACAGGAGATATTCAGCCTTATCTG